CGCCCCCTGGTGGACACTAGAGAGAATGCAGCTTTAAGACGTGAAGCTTTGGCTTCACTTTAAAGAACTGGAGGTTTGCTACCTGATCAAAACAAGACATTTGAAGACTTTGTCATTTTAACAAAGCAAACATTGGGCCTCAAGCAGGAACAACTTGTACGAACAGATTTGTTATTTAGCGGCTTGTACGAGTCATTTAGTACATAAGTTACGATTGGTGATAAGAGTTCTGGTATCGATTAAATCCTAACGATACGCGTCCTTATTGAGGACACACACATATTGTTCAGGGAGCTGGACTCCCACACTCACCTTGGCCTTGCCCTGGAAGTTGAAGGTGAGGACGTATTCTCCGCGCCGCGTCTCGCTCTGGCGAACCAGGAAGACTCCGTGGCTCGCCGGACCTCCGGCCAACACCAGCTGAGCGGCCTTGAGGCGGGACAAGGTGCCGTGGAACCACTGACACTCGCTGAGCGGGTGCTCCACCGCCTCCGCAGGGGTCACCTCCGAGAACAAGAAGGAGCCTGGACGAAGGTGGATGGAACATAGACACTTTAGAGTGAAATAAAGTTTCACTGACTCAGTAGAACATTTTATTATTTATTTATTATACTATATTGATCCCTTTAAGGGGGAAATTTGTCTCTGCATTTGACCCATCCCTGTATATAGGGATGGGTGGAGCCCTGGTTCAGTGTATTGCTCAGGTACACTTCGACACGTGTCACATCCCAGTCGAGGATCGAACCGCTGACCTTCCGGTTGCCAGACAACCCTCTTAACCCAGTGAGCCACGGTTGCCCCGAAAATGTGTTTCTAGTCTCTGATCTCTGATCATGTTTCATTGTAAACAACCAATCAGTGTTTAGACCAACAGGAGGAGAGCTAGTAACGTTAGCAGCACCGCTAACAGCTAACCAACAGAGGTTCACTTCATTTACATTATGATGCCTTCAGGCTCTGCTCAGTGAACATGAGTTCTGGCTGAAGGTACATTATAACGTTATCATGATGTGGTCACATGTCATCTGTAAAATGTAGTTTTGGTGATGAACTTGAATAAATCCAGTAGTTTGAAGGAGATGTTTTCACGTTAATATGAAACAGATATTGGAGATGAATTATGATGTTTAACTTCATAACACGAGCTCTAAGAACATTATTATACTTCATTAAACATAATAATGACGATACAAACCCCCTATAAATGACTATAGGGGGTATAACGTTTAGTATTTCTGATGGTTTACAGACTTCAGAGAGATTGAAATAAGTTTTCATAGTTTTAAATGAAAAGTACCTGTGGTGTCTGGCGTCTCAGCAAAAGGTGTGCAGAGACTGACTCCGCCTCCGCCTAGAATCCGGCCGTCTGGTTCGTCGAGAGGGGCTCGAGGTGGCAGCTCCGGTGGGAGAGGATCCATCAGAGGGGAGGAGCCTCCGATTCCTCCGTAACACACTGACAAGAAGTTAGTAAGGAGATAAAAACAACACAGAGATGTTAACTGTTACGTCGACAAGCCGAGGATGAAGTAGTTTCAAACTAAAAGTCTCACAAGCAGGATTCAGAGTCATGAATCTGGGAATGTAACACGGCAAAAGAGAGTATATCCTCTGATAACGCCACGTTAAAGGGGCCGTTGTGACTGTATTTATCTGGGGTTCCACAGGGATCAATCATTAGACCACTGCTTCTTTAACTCATACGAGCTGCTGTTGAAGGGTTCAGATTCACTCAACAACACCAACAGGTGGAGGCAGCAGTAGACCAGCAGCTCCTGTGTCCTGAGAAGTTAAATCTCTGTTTGAGTGAATGGAGTCCGGTGACTTTAAAATCAGAAACGGTTTTAATAGACATGATTTAAGAATAGAAAATATATAAATTTACTACATTACTGTGTATAAGTACCTCATACAGACATTCATTAAATAAGGTTGTAAACTTCCAGAAATACCTTGAGAGAGACGGTCAACGATCTCAGCCGTCCCGCTGATGTCCAGTGGCCCCACAGAGACGCCTTCAGCGTCCTCCTGCTCACTGTGAGGACACGGTCAGTAGTTCAGTGAGTTCATGTTGTCCCACACATTCATTCATTCATTCATTCATTACCTGAGACAGATGCCGTTCCTGATGTCGCTCAGCCAGGCTCTCATCTGAATGGCGTCACGCGTCTCGATCACGTACTGTGCCGTCCCCTCCAGCTGTGAAGAAGAAGAAGAAGAAGAAGAAGAAGAAGAAAAAAAATAATTAATTAAAAAAAAATAATAATAAAATAAAATAGATGACATCACATAAAAGCCAGTCTGTAAAAATGGTTCTTAAGAAGTTAAAATAATATAATAAAATCAGCAGAATTTCTTATTCTGCTGATTTTATTTGGCGACCTTAATAAAATGTCTTGGGGTCCAGAATCTCGAGGGTATTTTGCGGGTGTTGAAAGTACTTTTTGAGGCACTTTTACTCGACTACTTGTATTTTATGCCACTGTAAACATCTTCTCCACTACATCTCATCTTAACGCTTTAGTCACTTCAGATTATTAATAATAAATAAATGATGTATTATTACAGACCAGCAGTATATAAAGTCATTAACAAAAGACACATTCATGCATCAATTATTATAATACAATTCTGCATAATGAGTACTTTTACTATCAGTACTTTAAGTATACTTTGCTGCTTTTGAATGCAGCTCTGCTGGAGGCCTCGGTGCATCGTTGCACATGTAGATAACACGTTTACAACACGGACTAAGTATAAAGATCAGAGTGAAGGACTTGAGAAGCGACTACCTGCAGCAGGAAGGTGTTCTCCTTGTCGGGGACCTCCAGAGCCGTGGTGCTCCTCACGTCCACCATCGAGCAGCAGGGGACAGTCAGCCGGGGCTTCGACGACTGGAGGAGTCAAACAGACAGTCACAGACAATAATAATCTGTCTTTATGATCGTTATGTGGTACAAAATGTAAACCGTACTTTAATGTTTCACACAAAACACTGGCAACGAGGCAGACCGTGGGATAATAATGAGAATATATACAGTTGTGTGAAAAAGTGTTTGCCCCCTTCCTGATTTCTTATTTTTTTGCATGTTTGTCACACTTAAATGTTTCAGATCATCAAACTAATTTAAATATTAGACAAAGATAACACAACTAACACAAAATGCAGTTTTTAAATGAAGGTTTTTATTATTAAGGGGAAAAAAAATCCAAACCTACATGGCCCTGTGTGAAAAAGTGATTGCCCCCTAAACCTAATAACTGGTTGGGCCACGCCTTAGCAGCAACAACTGCAATCAAGCGTTTGCGATAACTGGCAATGAGTCTTTTACAGCGCTGTAGAGGAATTTTGGCC